GGTGGGGGGGGGGAGTGGTCAGATTTTTAAACTGTGGTATTGATTGAATGTCATAAATTCAAGAAATGTTTTGTCAAACTTCAAATTCTAAATGCTGAAAAAACTAAGAAAGATACATTAAGTAGTAACAATTGTTTAAAGAAATGGTACAACTTGTTTTCTCTCTCTACTGAAAAATTATGCTTTTTGGGCTTAGAACTTTTGAACAGCTTGTCGAAGAATTGTATTGTTGAGTACAACTACACGGTGGATTTTGAGGTGGATCCTGGGGAGCTTGGTGGAGGGGGGGGGGGGGGTAGGGGGACATGGGCTGTCTGCAATGATCCCAACCTAGCAGACAGACAGACAACTGGACATGTAACGGTCTATATGAAACAAGCTCCATCTTAAGCTGTACAATTCTATTGTCTGAGCTTCATCAGAAACTCAATCTCTCTATTTTCGTTCTTCAACTTCTGTCTTATTGTCTCCGTGAAACAGAACGCTTTCTCTTTTCCATATATTTGTTGCTTTTTAACTCTTGTTGTTTGCTTTGGGTTTTTAATTAAAAAATAGAAGCAGCATTAAATTAAACCTAGCGCAATCATTTAGGAAATAATATCCTTTTTAATTGCAGCATTTGTCCATTAAAACTAATTTTCACATTAAACATTTTATCAATACAAAAACAGCTCCTTACAAAATGTGGCATTCAAATAGTTTATTTGTTTCAAAACGATCACAAAATCAATGCGGGGGAACAGCATCAGAGGTAAAGAGAAACTTTACCGATAAACAGATATATAATGTGTATGTGTGTGTGTGTGTGTGTGTGTGTGTGTGTGTGTGTGTGTGTGTGTGTGTGTATTTGTGTGTGTGTGTGTGAAAAATGGAAGTGAATCTTTCAAGTTGACAGCCAATCCAACACTTCTTTACTTAAAACAAAAATTGAAAATGTTCCGCAGCTTGGTCAAGAGCTAAGAAATAGATGAGAGGGCAGAAACCTCAATTTAACTGATTGAACACACATAATTGTGGCAGGAATCGACTTTTGGAGCTTTAATTAAACTGTAATTGATTTCTTTGTCCACTTTTTAAACACGCAGAAAAAGAAACGTTTACATTTTTGCTCGTTGTTGTAAATCTAGCGGCTATTTGTTTACGCGCATGTTGTTTTTTATTCATGTTTTTGAGCGGCAATTAGTTCCACCAGCGCAACCTAGGCGAACATATTATTAATATTTGAAGGGCTTAAGTTTACTCCTAGTCATAATCTACTGGTGGGAAACATTTTTTCGGGAAAGAGCGAATAATCCTTAAAGCTTACAGAAAATACACATGAAGTGCCAGTTTCATATGACAGAAAGGTACATGTATCTATCTCTTTTGAACATGTTTGATGAAATACACTCGTCTTTATATACAAAATTGGTCATCATTATCGAAACTGCGAGAAGGAAAAAAAAAGCCAAATTGCACAGGCTACCAGAATATCCATCAATCGTTAAAATTCAAATAATATTTTGTCTTGGCAGGATGTTCAAGACATTTACTCATCATTCCGCGAAGAAACCACAGAGAAAGTCTCCAAAGTCGGAGTCGGACAACGGGCGACAGGAGTTGGGAGGAGAACTCTGGCCATCAGGAAACTATCCAGGGACTACTTATAATATGTACAATATTTCGTGATTGAATTTCCAATCGCGGGTTACCTCCGTCACTCATCTATTGAACGTGAATTTTCAAGAGCCCACTTTTAGACCCCCTTGAAGCACAATAGCAAAAGACCAGGGAACCCTGTATTAACCAACCAGTTTCTTTTGGAAAAAAAATTAATGAAAGGATAAGCAATAACTTTTCGTTAACCAAAATTATGAGTTTGAATCCTTTCCTTCTTTATCGTATGACTGATGCAAAGTGTGTAGGAAAATAGATCTCACACTTGTCAATATTATAATACAATTTTCATCTGTCATCGATACACACACTGAAGGAAAAACAAACAAGCAAACTCGCACATTCACAATAACTACCAAATAGATCACAAACTCTCGTCCAAAACTAAAAACTAAACATAAACAGCCATGTCAACCTGAGGCTCAGAGCGCATGAAGAGACAGACAACGAGATGTAGGAAAAGAAACATGCTCAGTAGTCAGTTGACTTTCCACAATGTTTGAGAAAATCGCCGCCGGAGCTTACAACACACTGTCGTTGGCCTCTCAGCTCGGGTGTCGGTTGCTCCAGCACAAAGACATTCAACGCGAGAAACCGTGTGACAAAACAGTGTCATCTGTCGCCTTGGAAACAGGTTTAGCTGTGACGCCGTCGAGAAGTCTACCATTATATTATTATATCAGAACGTGTCTCCACTTGTGAGAAACGTGCAAGAACGTACGAATAAGTTTGTCCACATCGTCGAGTGAGGAGAGAAAACCTCGTCAAGCAATAATTGTCTACACGTGATGTCTACATCCCAAATTACATTGTCTTGTAGCTTGGGCCGTTTTGTTTTTCAAAGATGATATTATCAATAACAACAACACACACACACAAACGATGACGTTTCGTGGAGCTTTGGTTTAAAACAAAACAAAAACAAAACAACAGAATAAAACACCAGAGTCTTGAATGATCAGAATGAGTGGGCGAGTGGGTAGATGGGTGAGTGGGTGGATGGGCGAGTGGGTGGTGGGTGGTGGGCGTGTGTTCTTCAGAACAAGCGGACGTACTCCTTGTTGATGTAGTCCCCGACTTCCGGGTGTGCCTGAGTGTTGGGTCGCGGGAGCGTGTTGGCTGATGGGAGGCTCCCGTAGCCGGACGACATCTGGTAGGGGTGCTGGGAGGGGACGTTGCCCATCTGGTGGGCGGAGCTAGACATGACTGGCAGCTGCATGTTGGGCAAGGAATAGGGCGCGTCCATGTTGCTGCCGTAGTGGTGGTAGCTGTTGTAGGCTGCTTGCTGCCCATACTGGGGCTGGCCGTTGGGGAGGCCGTAAGGGGAGCGCTGCATGCAGCTGCTCATCCCGATGTCGGCCATGGGCTGGAACATAGGGTTAGCCGGGTTCCACACGTCCTGGCTCTCTCGGCGCGTCGCCTGGTTGCTAGGCAACGGGCCTCCGGGGGCGTGGTGGAGCATGGGGGATGAGACGGAGGGCTTGTAGTCCACGGGGGACACGCTAGCGGGAGGGGGAGGCGTGGCCTTCAGTTCTTTCTTGGGGGGAGGGGTGGTGGTGTTGCCGCCGGGCTGACCACCGGTGCCGCCCCCTCCTCCTCCGCCGCCGCCGGCGCTGTTGTTGTTGTTGTTGCTGTTGCTGTTGTTGTTGTTGTTGCTGCCCGTGCCGCTGCTGGAGGTTTTCTTCTGGTCTGCCGCCTTGGCTTGTTGTCGGCACTTGGCGCGTCGGTTCTTGAACCACACCTGGGGGGAGGACATGACAGGTGAAAGGTTAGTGTGGGGGGTTTGGAGTAAATCTGGTATAATTGTGGATAAACAGAAGCATGTGAACACAGTAATGGACATTTAAGTGACGGAAATACACATACAGGAAGAAAGAAAGAAAGAAAGAAAGACAGAAAGACAGAAAGAAAGAAAGAAAGAAAAAAAAGAAAGAAAGAAAGAGAAAGTGAGAAAGAATATAGAGGAGCAGAAAGATAGAAAGACAAAAACAAAAGAAAGAAGGAAAGAGAGAGAGAGAGAGAGAAAGATAGAGAGAGATAGAGATAGATAGATAGATAGATAGATAGATAGATAGATAGATA